AAATCGTAAACTCAACACAATCAGGAAAAGAAACCCAGACAACCATGTTGTACTTCTGTTGAATACATTTTGTAGCAGTGCGTCACGTCGGAATATTGTCTAAAATAAAATATTCAATCCCAGCCAAATCTAGGTCAAAGGGTCAGATTGCGTGCATATAATTAAAGTATTTGAACTTTTGACGGTTGTTCAACATCTATGCACGGTTACTAAACTAGTAACCGTGATCTATGAAAACCAGAAAATTTTTCATTGTCCGAATTTTTGCACAGTCGAAAATAAAACAGAATTTGACCGGTCAAAAGCGGAAGCGGTCAAGAGGTTTGGGGGAAATGAGTACAGTACTTCTTTGTTTGATGAAGCGATGCTGATGCCACATTGTCGCCATAATGAGGCCACAATGAAGCGAAGCGATAATCGCCTAACTTTTTAATGTCGCGACATTGATGCGACGATGAAGCCATAACAATGCCATAACGATGCGATGCTGAAGCGAAGCTGACGCTGAAGTGAAGCCAAAGCTTCCGCGAGAATTGTACTGTACCAGAGTCAGTGTAAAACATAGTCAGGACAATGCAATGAACACTATAATAATGCTGGATTCTTTCAGAAAAACTTGCGTAGGAATCAAAGATACTCAATGGTAAAATATGATATAGATGCATTATATACCTTTCCTTGGTCAATAGTACCACACTTGTAAGCACTGATGTCAGCTTCACACTTCTCATAGAATCCCTGAATTAGATGATAGTCACTGAATATAATACTGGCCATCTTGGTTAAATACTGACGACATTGTTGATTTGTTATATTGTCTTTGTGCTCTATAAGGCAGGGAATTATCTGACCTTTGCCCTTTTCATATGTTTGACACTCTATTTGCTGTTGAAAACAGAAAGAAAATAAAGAATTTAGAATCTATAACCAATAACAAGATAACAATGTTTAACATGTGTACATTTGTGGTAAAACTATATCAATACATCTATGTACTAGTAGATACTCTGTACCAATACATCTATTTGCTAGCAGATGCTCTGTATCAATATATATATGTACTAGTAGATGCTCTGTATCAATACATATATGTACTAGTAGATGCTCTGTATCAATACATATATGTACTAGTAGATGCTCTGTACCAATACATCTTTACTAGTAGATACTCTGTACCAATACATATATTTGCTATCAGATGCTCTGTACCAATACATTTATGTACTAGTAGATACTCTGTACCAATACATCTGTACTAGTAGATGCTCTGTACCAATACATCTGTACTAGTAGATATTCTATACCAATACATCTATGTACTAGTAGATACTCTGTACCAATACATCTGTACTAGTAGATGCTCTGTACCAATACATCTGTACTAGTAGATATTCTATACCAATACATCTATGTACTAGTAGATGCTTTGTACCAATACATCTATTTACTAGTAGATGCTCTGTACCAATACATCTATTTACTAGTAGATACTCTGTATCAATACATATATGTACTAGTAGATGCTCTGTACCAATACATCTATGTACTAGTAGATGCTCTGTACCAATACATCTATGTACTAGTAGATG